CCCCCCTGTGTTACACGATAGTGCACCCCTTTTCCCGGGGAGTGCACGCCTGTGTGTACCGAAAAGGGCACGCCCTGTGTGTACACGAGTATTGGCAGGCCCTGTGTGTACACGAGTAGTGGCACGCCCTGTGTGTCCGAGTAGTGCCACCCCCCTGTGTGTACACGAGTAGTGCCACCCCCCTGTGTGTACACGGGGTATTTGCCACGCCCGTGTGCACGAGTAGTGCACCCCTGTGTGTACCGAGTAGGGGCACCCCCTGTGTGTACACGAGTAGGGGCCACGCCCTTGTGTGTACACGAGTAGCGCACGCCCTGTGTGAAACACGAGTAGTGGCACCCTGTGTGTCCCGAGTAGTGCCACGCCCTGTGTTAAAAGGAGTATTTGCACGCCCTGTGTGTACACGAGTAGTGCCACGCCCTGTGTGTAACACGAGTAGTGGAAACGCCCTGTGTGTACACGAGAGTGGGCACGCCCTGTGTGTACACGATAGTGCCACGCCCTGTTTTAACACGAGTAGGGGCACGCCCTGTGTGTACGAGTAGTGCCACGCCCTGGTTTTACACGAGTAGGGGCCACGCCCTGTGTGTACACAAAGTAGGGCCGCCCGTGTGTACACGAGTAGTGCCACGCCCTGTGTGTGGTGCACCCCGGGAAGTAGTGCCACGCCCTGTGTGTACACGTATGGCACGCCCTGTGTGTACAGTAGTGCCACGCCCTGTGTACACGAGTAGTGGCACGCCCTGTGTGTACACGAGTATGCCACCCCCTGTGTGTACCGAGTAGGGGCACGCCTGTGTGTACACGAGTAGGCCAGCCCTGTGTGTACACTAGTAGTGCCACGCCCTGTGTGTACACGAGTAGTGGCACGCCCTGTGGTACGAGTAGTGCCACGCCCTGTGTGAAACCGGAGTAGGGGCACGCCCTGTGTGTACACGAGTAGTGGCACCCCCTGTGTTACACGATTAGTGGCACGCCCTGTGTGTACACGATAGTGGCACTCCCTGTGTTACGAGTAGTGCCACGCCCTGTGTACACGAGTAGTGGCACCCTGTGTGTACAGGGAGTAGTGGCACGCCCTGTGTGTACAGAAAAGTGGCACGCCTGTGTGACACGAGTGTGGCACCCCTGGGGACAGAGTGCCAGCCCTGTGTATACACGAGTAGTGACACGCCCTGTGTGTACACGAAAGTGGCACGCCCCTGTGTGTACACGAGTATTGCCCCCCCTGCGTGTACACGAGTAGTGGCACGCCCTGTGTGTACACGAGTAGTGGCACCCCCTTTGTGTGTACACGGTAGTGCACCCCCTGTGTGTACACGAGTAGTGCCACGCCCTGTGTGTTCACGAGTAGTGCCACGCCCTGTGTGCACGAGTAGTGCCACGCCCTGTGTGTGCACGAGTAGTGCCATGCCCTGTGTGTACACGAGTAGTGCCACGCCCTGTGTACATTAGTAGTGCCACGCCCAGTGTGTACACGAGTAGTGCCGCGCCCTGTGTGTACACGAGTAGTGGCACGCCCTGTGTACACGAGTAGTGCCACGCCCTGTGTACACGAGTAGTGCCACGCCGTGTGCGTACACGAGTAGTGGCACGCCCTGTGCGTACACGAGTAGTGGCACGCCCTGTGTGTACACGAGTAGTGGCACGCCCTGTGTGTACACGAGTAGTGGCATGCCCTGTGTACACAGTAGTGGCACGCCCTGTGTGTACACGAGTAGTGGCACGCCCTGTGTGTTACACGAGTAAGTGGCACGCCCTGTGTGTACACGAGCAGTGGCACGCCCTGTGTGTACACGGCATGGCACGCCCTGTGTGTTACACGAGCAGGGGCACGCCCTGTGTGTACACGAGCATGGCGCGCCCTGTGTGTACACGAGTATGCCACCCCCTGTGTGTACACGAGTAGTGCCACGCCCTGTGTGTACACGAGAGTGTCACGCCCTGTGTGTACACGAGTAGTGCCAACGCCCTGTGTGTAAACGAGTAGTGCCACGCCCTTGTGTACACGAGTAGTGCCACGCCCTGTGTGTACACAAGTAGTGCCCGCCCTGTGTGTAACACGATAGGCCACGCCCTGTGTGTATACGAGTAGTGCCACGCCCTGTGTGCACACGAGTAGTGCCACGCCCTGTGTGTACACGAGCAGTGGCACGCCCTGTGTATACACGAGCAGTGTCACGCCCTGTGCGTACACGAATAGTGCCACGCCCTGTGTGTACACGAGCAGTGCCACGCCTGTGTGTACACGAGTAGTGCCACGCCCTGAGTGTACACGATCAGTGGCACGCCCTGTGTGTACACGAGCAGTGGCACGCCCTGTGTGTACACGAGCAGTGGCGCGCCCTGTGTGTACACGAGTAGTGCCACCCCCTGTGTGTACACGAGTAGTGCCACGCCCTGTGTGTACACGAGTAGTGCCACGCCCTGTGTGTACACGAGTAGTGCCACGCCCTGTGTGTACACGAGTAGTGTCACGCCCTGTGTGTACACGAGTAGTGCCACGCCCTGTGTGTACACGAGTAGTGCCACGCCCTGTGTGTATACGAGTAGTGCCACGCCCTGTGTGCACACGAGTAGTGCCACGCCCTGTGTGTACACGAGCAGTGGCACGCCCTGTGTATACACGAGCAGTGTCACGCCCTGTGCGTACACGAATAGTGCCACGCCCTGTGTGTACACGAGCAGTGCCACGCCTGTGTGTACACGAGTAGTGCCACGCCCTGTGTGTACACGATCAGTGGCTCACCCTGTGGGTATACGAGCAGTGACACGCCCTGTGTGTACACGAGCAGTGACACGCCCTGTGTGTACACGAGCAGTGACACGCCCTGTGTGTACACGAGCAGTGACACGCCCTATGTGTACACGAGCAATGGTACGCTCTGTGTGTCCAGTAGCAAGTGACACGCCCTGTGTGTACACGAGTAGTGGCACGCCATGTGTGTACACGAGCAGTGGCACGCCATGTGTATATACGAGCAGTGGCACGCCCTGTGTACACGAGCAGTGGCACGCCATGTGTGTATACGAGCAGTGGCACGCCCTCTGTGCACACGAGCAGTGGCACGCCCTGTGTGTACACTAGTAGTGGCACGCTCTGTGTGTACACGAGTGGCACGCCCTGTGTGTACACGAGTAGTGGCACGCCCTGTGTGTACACGAGTAGTGGCACGCCCTGTGTGTACACGAGTAGTGGCACGCCCTGTGTGTACCCGAGTAGTGGCACGCCCTGTGTGTACCCGAGTAGTGGCACGCCCTGTGTGTACACGAGTAGTGCCACGCCCTGTGTGTACCCGAGTAGTGGCACGCCCTGTGTGTACCCGAGTAGTGGCACGCCCTGTGTGTACCCGAGTAGTGGCACGCCCTGTGTGTACCCGAGTAGTGGCACGCCCTGTGTGTACATGAACAATGGCGTAACTTGTGTTACATGCTTTGCATCTCATTATTTTAATAAACTGTAAAAGTTAGTCTTTAATCTGTAATATTTTCCTCATTTCAAAGCAATTATTTTTCTGTAAGAAAACTGAAACGGCTAAAATTTGAGGTGTTATCATTTCGTAATAAATAATACAACAATTGAACGTTATCTATTCTATTTTTTCATGACTTTTACTCGATTTTATACATTAACGTTTAACAGCATGAAGTTAGTGCAGAGAAAAAAGCCGACATATGGAAATAAAGAGACGTAATGCAGAGCAAACCTTTACTTTAAACTACGTTTTGTCTGAGCGACACGTTTTCTAAAATAAAGGTTTGCACTTCATTATTTGGCTCTATTTCACCTCAAATTTACTTGAATAAACACACTTTTCTTAAAGCTTTATCGGGTTCATAACCCGATAAAGCTCTTCAGAGACCAAAAAGTTGCCTCAATAAATGCCGTTTTCTGTAACGCGCGTATTTTCTTCACTATTGTCGGCCGTACACTATTTGTATCCATGAAGTTACTTGTGGAAAGAGTCTGCTCGGAACCCATAATGTGGTTGATCATCTTAATAAATTCCTCAGTGTATTATGCTCTCCTTTTTTAGAAAAAAGGTATCAGCCATTCGCTTTAGAACTGATGCAAATGAGGGTCAAGCGAGTATAAGAAAAGACGAAAGAAATGGCTGGAAAACTAAGGAAACACAGGTCACACTGGTAACGACGGGATACAAGAGGTCTTGCGAGGAGTGAAGGGACGTTGGAGGTCGTACGCTGGACGCAAGTAGGACAAGGAGCGGAAGGGCACAGGACGTAGTGCAGGGAGGACGCAGGAGGAGGTACAAGTAAATAGACGCTAGAAGTCGTGCAGGGGGAAGGAAAGGAAGGTGGAGGTCCTGAATCGGACGACGGAATGCTAAATGTCGTGCAGGATACGCAGGGGGTTGTGCAGGGAACGAGCGAAAGCATGAGGTCGTACGGGGGACGCAAGAACTCTGAGGGTCGTGCAGGAAACGAGCACCGAACAACAGAGAGCAGGAGGAAGTCCTTTTTTCCCCTCATTAGCCCAGAAGTTGGCTCGGAATTAATTGTTTGGGTATCCTGCGCACGGCGCACTAGCTGAGCAAAGGGGAAGGAAGCTATTAAGGAAGGAATCTTGGTACTGGTGAAGAGCTCTTCGTCCAAGAAATTTCAGTTATTCCTCGTATCAAACCATTTATTTCCTATTTCTTAGGAGGCGCTGTATGACACTTGGAAAGTGGTAATTAGATTTGATCGTAGGAAGGCAAGAGTAGCTCGTTTTTCTCAGTACGGGATTAAGACTTATAGGAATAGCAAGATGTCTGGAGATACTCCTATGTTTAGTGATGTCACAGGTCACAGAATAGACATGAGCTCATTCACTGTGTTATCCAGTCGACCCAACATCAAGTATTTTTAGGGTTACGGAATGTGGGAGGCTTACAGGATGACCTCTCGCGATAAGCAGCCAGAAGGGACAAAGGACCAGAACCGAAAACTGCCACAGTGCCGTTATCATTTATTTTCCTGAGATCTATAATGTTCACAAATGGTAACAGTTGTTGATGGGCGAGAGTTTTGATTGATGGTGGTGCTCCTTTCTTTTGGAGATTTCAAAACGTAATTGAGTCTTCCCAATAACTGACCGGAATCTTTAAAGAACACGATTACTGAAAAAAGTTGTATGGCTACCCAGCCTGATTCACCTGATTCACTGGCACTAATTCACTGTGTTGTTGTTGACTTTCTGTGTAGGTAAAGACCAATTTTGTTTCAAAACGGAACATAATCGTGTCTATCATTTTCTCTGCAAGTGTGGTAAGAGCCACTTCATTTCACATCTGTACTTCTTGGTTGGAGCATTCCATGAAGTTCTCTTTTGCGGTTGCAGTATAAGCAACCAGTAACCTTAGCGTCTGTCCTGAACAGCTTTCTGGAAATAAGAGGTAATATTTATACAGCATGCGTTACATGTTATTATCTGTAAAATAACTGATAATGCTTGTAAATTTTTATAACGTAATTATAACATATAAGAAATATACTAGGCTCTCAAATGAGCCTCAGACAAAAATATTATGTTCAATGAGCAAACGTTTCAGCTGCTTCACCATGGAAGATTTAGAGGAAATAGACTGAAACGGAGTACAAGGCAAACTCGAAACATTCAATAGAATGGAAGCTCCATGGGAACGATGATATCAGATCTTATGTTGAAGAGTCACAACAATGTTCCTATTGTTATAGCAAGGAAAAGGATAGATTGGGTTACTAATTCTGTCAAGACAAGAGATGCTGAGCCAATAATGATACTTCTCAAGTTGCTTATGTTCTCTCTCAAAGACAGGCGATACTGCTGAGCTAGAAAACGTACAGAGAACTTTCACTGACCGTATACACGCAGTCAAACATTTAAATACTGAGAACGCCTTAAGATCATGCTGAGAACGATTAAAGGAACATAGTAATTTACCCCTGAAAAATCCTGGAGGGACTGGTCCCAAACCTCTATACCGGAATCACTCCTTGTGAAACAAGACTAGGCAGACGTTCCAAAATGCCTCCAATAAGAAGCAAGGACGCGACGAATATACCGATAGAGAACTTGTTGAATCTCAGAGGTCCCCGACTCTTCAACGCTCTCCCTTCATGCATATATGGAATTAACAACAAACCTCTGGTGGTCTTCAAAATAGAATTAAGCAGGTTTCTCAAATCGATTATTGAACAACAAGCTGTGTTTCCCTACGTTGGACTGCCTGGGGCCCATATAACACCCTAGTTGACAGGGTTTGATCCCCGGGGGGCTTGGTCTGGACTGGGTCGGGGGTGTTGCCCACGGGAAAGCACCCTTAGAAATATTTATCTTTTCATTATAAAAATGTATATTTTTAGTAAAACCCACAAATTTAAAGGTGAAACTCCGGTACCACCTTATGTTAAAAAAAAACGCGATTCTAAAAGTTTGAGATCCCATGAATCTAAAAGGACTGCCTTCTAGCACCCGCTGTTACTGGGTTTTCGTAACAAGTATCAGTTCTTTTCCAAATTTACCCCTTAAAAATTTCAGTATGGTTCAATAGTGCTTTGTTTAAAAATGGAGGTACTAACTGAGAAATTAAAATTTAAAAAATTTATTAAAGTAGTAATTTGTTAAAGGGGTTTTAATTTCAAATTAAATTTAAAATTACAGCAATCAAATAAACCCCCCAACTCTCGAGTTCAATATTTTTGGCTGGAAAGACTACACTTTTAATTTTAAGCCGTCAGGTACTTTAAATTTAATAAGATATTCAAAATGTACAAGTGTGTGTAGCTATAAGGCTCTTAAGTAGTTAGCTGTTCTCAAACTCGAATTGCTTAAACAAGTGCTACAAAGTCCTCAAAAAAATAACTTCTTGACCGACTGGAAACCCCAAAAGTTGCTTGAACAACAAAGAATGCTAAGCCCAAAATGAAGCAATATCAAGCGACTGCGACCAGAATCAGGACAAGGGATAAAATAACGACACTAAGTGGGCCCATCTGCAGACCCCCTCAAATTTACAAAACCCCCAAAACTGAATCTTTGTTCAGCATAGGAAAAAATGTGACTGTGACAATAACAAAAACCCATACAAAATTAGGCAAAAGATAGCTAAGGACCGGATACTCAGAGTGTCAGTGACACACAACCTCAGTAAACTCAAAAATCCTAAGTCTTTAAAATGTTTGTGAAAAAAAGTTTACAAAAACTAACAAAAATAATGAGACAGACAATCGTCCAACCAAAAGCGGTCTCCAGCGACGAATATTTTTACGAGAGGTGAGGCCCCCCCCCCCTCGTCACGTGATAGCTACGTGGACAACTGAGCCAGAACCGGGCGTAAAACGAGCGACAAGCGATATTACGTAGTTTGACAATCAAGCCAAACTGAGACATTTATGTACACCCTAACAACATAAGCAAAAACAATATAACATAAAATAATAAAAAAAAGCATCTTTACGATTTAGCTATTATCGCCAAAAAAGCAATAAAAAATTAAATGAAAAGATAATTACTTTTAAATATACTTTTAAAATCATTGAAACCCATTCGGGGGTTGCAACACCCCCCCCCCCCAAACAGACAGGGGGTCCCCTAGGAGTTGCTGGAATGTCTTTTCCATTTTTCTGGTTACCATATCAATATTAAAAAAATACTTTAATTCGAGTCTCTCTTGTGCTAAGCCCCTCAAAAATTTCACAGCGCCCGCACTGGGGATATCCCCTATATTGGGGAGTCAAGTACGTTTTGCATACTCGTGGTTATGTACATCAGTGTAGGACAGGATAGCGCTAAAAAGGGAGGGCACGTTGGGGCCCGACAAGTAGGGGGAGACCACCCCTTTTAATAGGGGTTGGGAATCTGGGCAGTAGAACCTGAGTAAAAAACAGTTAAGGTGTTAGTGGGGGGGGGGGTCTGGGGCAGGACATGGCGTCCGCAGACATCCCGCACCACACAATCACTCAACATCGTTGTCCCCCTCCACAAAATTTGTAAATTTAAATAAATTTAATTAGAATGAATGATAAAATAGTTAATATGGGCGGGGGGTTTAATTACTTTACTGAATTTGAGATAGCAAGTAACAAAAGGAATTGGGCATAAAATTACTTAATTTTTAATGTAACGATAATTTTTGGGGACGAGACAGGCGCAAAATTTACATTACAATGACCATTTGTGTTTTATACAAAATAGAATAAGGTGGATTCTGAGGGCCCACCTCAGACCTAGCTTCTTATCTTCATGGTTTTATATAGGTGGTGGATTGGGCTGAAAAAACTTTAAATTTTTAAAATGGGAAGGCCAAATACACGTAAAAAATTTTCCCAAGGCCCACAAGTAGAGCCCTCTTTTCAAAGTGGCTAATTTTTCGGGTTGTCGTTTAAGTTAGTGAATGTAACTAAGGAGGGGAAAATATCGTGGGTGTTGACTGTTGGAGCACCCAAACCCACTGCATACCCACCGCTCTATATGTAAAAAGAAGGGGGGAGAAATTGGCTCTTAAAAAGGGCGAGGGGGGGAAAGCGCTTCAACCTTTTTGGGAACGGTCTAAACAATCTCTAGCCAGGGAACTGAATTTGAACAGAAGCTCATGGGGCTGCAAGGGGGAAAAAGTTTGGCAGAACCTGCGTAATACCTGCCATCCCCCAGAATTCTGTCCCCCCTTCCCTTCCTGTGGCAGGAAATTCAGAAATTGCACAAACCTTGCCTCAATGGGCAACCTCCCCTTGGCGTTTAAAACCCTAGGGGGTTAATTTTGGCTTGCCAAAACTACATTTAGCTAATTAAACAGTGAAGTTGTAGTGCGCCATCTCTCAAACAATCTCTGGACGCGCAAGTGCTGTTCCCCACTGTCAGACCCCCAACTAGTGTAAAGGGTAGGTTCTACTCCTTCAAAGTTGGGGGTCAACCCTTTCTTAACGTTGGAATAAAAAAGCCGCGTTACATACCCGAAGGGGGGGGAAAGAGGAATTTTAAACAATCCATTTTGAACATAAAGCGAATTTCTTGAGCCGTTCAGTAAGGGGATTGATAATGGGGCCTCGAAAGAAAATTAAACGCTGACAAACGGGCTCCGAACAGGTCTAAGGTCCAAGCGGGGAAGGAAACCTCAGGCAAGGTGCGGGTTTCACTTTCCTGTAACCCGTGACACCCGAAATACCGTCAGGTTTAGGCCAAAAATCAGGAGATCCCCATGGACTTTTACGCGTTCAAAAAGCCCGTGGAAAACGAAAATAAACCCTCTTCTCTCAATTTTTAGCTTTGGGACTCTCCTATATGGGTTGCTTAATGGGTTGCTCCCTGTACATCAACGTCATGTACACCCAGAGTACAACGTTGGAAACATCACCGAACAAAACAGGGAAATGAAAAAATCATGTTTTTAATATCAGGGGTTTATCCTCCCAAGGTTACTAAAAAAAATGTCTGTGACTGTAGAGTCACAAAATTTCAAACGCACCTTTTAAACCTCTGAGTGTCAGGTGACGACGTTTCTTCCTCTGTCCTGGAAGAATAGAAGTAGTAGGTAGAGGACTAGGTAATCCCTTAAAGCTTTAAACAGGTCCCACAGGGTTAGATTTCTTTTTCCCAGGCGTCTCCAAAATAATTTTACGCGTAAGCTTTTTCACTCTTCCAGGGGCCCAAATACCTGGCTTGTAGAGCATGACCTGGTACTAATTTCCGAGCCATCCCTTATCTCCTGCTTTTAAAAAAACGAGGACAGCAGTTTGTCATAATTTGTTCATTCTGTTGGGGCTGAAACTAGGTTTTCGAAGCCAGCTCTCTAGCGGGTCAATTTTCTGCTTTAAAAGAAGGTGAAGACTCAAGATGGTTTTGTTTTTCCTGTCCACACGTCTTTAAAACACTGCAAAGGCCC